CAAGCTTCATGTGTTATATTTTACGCAGTCCGGGTTCGATTTACCTTGAGTATAATGTTGGTTAGCCGGAACCTGCCAGGGTTGTCGAGCCACTGCGAAGTAAAATAGTTCTCAAGCCACGATCTCAATAACATCAAATTTTAAGTACCTACATGGTGCAGCACTGTAGTGCCAAAAACGAGCGACAAAAAGGTGCCAAACAGAAAGATGCAAAGTATCCTGAAATATCTAAGCATTCTAGAAAATCTGCTATTCGAAACTACTTTTTCAATAAGCTGGCAGTTGTTTCGAGTTACAATTTACTTAAAGCTCAGTATAAACTATAAACTGTTAAACTGATAAGTGAAAATATTTTGGTGTGCATTTTTGGCATTTCCAAATGCCAAGTAGAAGCGACGTATTTTCTTCCTTTAGTTTCTGATAAGATTCTGATTAAACGAAAAGTGACGAGAAGTGTGATAAACCGGTGCCGGATAATTGTATCGGCACTGAACAGGATGCAGATTCTACGGGAAGCAGGCTTAACAAATCGAACAGACAGCAAGAGAATGATATCATTTCTAATTTTGCATGCACGTTCCATTGCTTCCGCGGAAATTTAATTGTTCCGATAAGGTAGCTGGCACCAGAAGCGTCGCATTTTATCGGTATTAATGGCGCATTAAAGATTACTGTTGTCACGAGTTGTCTGTTGAATAAGCGAACAAGTTAATTACGTATGTAGTTCGAGTCAAGAGTCATCATAAGCAGCCAATTATAAAGAATGACAACCCAAATAGAAAGTGATAACGAACCGGCGTTTGCTGTTAAAAGTGCTTTCTGACTTGATAGAAATCGACGATTTCTTGGTTTATTTATTATGATAATTGTTTTGTGCTGAGGGTCATTTACGTAGGCGGTTCTGTTGTAGACTTGTAGTTCACTTGAGCCCAAGATTAAGCTGGCAATATGCTCCCTGGAAAATTGTAATGTTAGATGCCGGTTGGATGACAAAAGCGAAGATGGAAGGGCCGGAAACGGTCAATCTCACCTGTTACGGCTGGCACCAGTCAACTCTCTTGTTTTGAATACGGGTATTAAAGTTATATCTAAATGCCATCAACTTTGTGGTTTTCGCTGACCTTAAACTGAATTAGTTGTTTGTAATTAGCGACTACTGGATATTATGTTCACCACAAAAGCTTCACCACAAAAGCACAAACCATCAACATCTTTAGCCCGGCAATTTCCCTGCTACCACTTTAACCCACGCGTGGGTAATTTTCAATTTTGCCTCGAAGAATTTATCATTTCAGCAAAAATCGAGCTGTGAATCGAGCTCAGCGTTTGTATATGCACTACCTACGTTAAGCCTAATTGCATTAAATGTATTTACGGTTTAGGCATTTATGCACTACAAAATGGGTTTTCGACATTTCTAAATTTCCAGTATAAAGATCAAAACTTTGAATTACAAAAACAAAACTTCTTAGTGGAGTTCGCTATAAATGCACGCATGGAACTTGTCCAAAAGCAGCAAATTTAGCGTGCGGTATCACATCCAATAAGCTCAATGCCGGCTATGTCCTACATTTTTAATAATTTTTGAATAAATTATTGTTTAGCATGCTTCTGAGAGCACTTAATTGCATTACTTAATAAGGATACATTGGCAGTTTAGAAATCATTTGTACTGCTGTGCGCATTATGAATAAGTAGTAGAAGTGCTTTGTACGTACTTTGCTGTACTACGAGTATAGTTAATACGATATATTCTGTAGTTGGTCGACACGTACACGGATTTAGCAACGATTAGTCAACCGTCAATACCTGTCAGTCATTACAATCTTTTATTCATAATGAAACAGGAAACCGTACCGACTTTTGCCCAATGCATTACGCTTAATGAGCATGTTATATACAAACAGCCTGCTCTCAGTGTTTATAAATTACTGTACAGGTACGTCCGTACACTTTCGATAACTTTTGAGTAGGATTTGCGCTGTGCTACAAGCTGGGTCAATTTCGGTCAATTCATAGCTCACGCTGCCTCTCTCGAACGACATTTTCACACCGTCTCTTAAACGATAGTGAGTGGGATGCTGCGGACCTCGCTTTGCAAAAGCCATTGTATCACGTTTTCGACTTTACGTACAAACGCCGCTGTTACACCAGGCAGTACTCAGCACAAAGACGTGGAATTCCTGAGTGACAGCGACACTGAACACGAATAATTTGTACTGAACGCGATAGTTAACCGTATTGTGAATATAGATGTAAGCTTATGCGCATGATTCACTACGCGAAAAGCAGAAATTAATAAGCCGCTAGTTATCCGCTCCTTTGATACATACATTGATAGCTTTTAGTTTACAAACATAAAATGCAAAACTTTTATAATTTTCGGTTAATTCTGGTAATACTTGGACCAATTTTTGTGGCTGTTTTTGCAACTTACCGGTATCACGGTAGCTACGTGGTTTATGGAACGGTAATCCTAAGAAATGTTGTAATAAACGAGCGATTTTTGCGAAATCTTTGAGCTGCCTACATTTTACAACGAGAAAATTTTTCAGGGAGACACGATTATTTACACTTTTCATAATCATGGCGGCCCGCGATTTCCACATCGACAATGGCTTGTGGAGTGCCTCGATGGAGAGGCGGCAGTTGGCAAGTTGATTCTGGCTGTAATAAATGACATGTGCCCTGTTTTCCATCGTGGGCTTTGCTTTTCGGTTTTGTTTGTTTTCACTAAAGTTTTTTTATTTTTCAGGAATACAGTAAGTATCATATTCTGAAGCATTTTGTCCGATCGTTTGTAGGATATTATTTTTGATGTGATCATTGTAGAGACTTGATTTTCGACTTTGAGGTACGGCAATTCTTGTGATCGCTTGTTTTACAGCCGGTATCTGTAGCATTTAATTGTTTGTTTGAATTGTGTCGATGCTTAGAGAATAGAGGAGTTGTGGTGCAAGTTTATGTTTCCTTACAAGCCCCCATCCAAAGGATTGTATCCATATTATCCCAAGTAAGTATAGGCAGCACTAGAAAAAAATCACGTGGCGCGGTTAAATACAAACACTTTAACCGTGAATGCCAATCCTATGTCACAGACGATTAAGAAGTTTACCAAATCCGTGTGTTTGTAGTTGTGTCTACAGAAATTTCACGTTCAACTTCTTTTGTTACGACCCCAAGAATTCCAGCATAAGCGTCAACAGTTTTGTCACAGGTAAAAAGTTTGATAAGTTTGTTTTACGATAACCAAACCAATACCCTTAAGCATACACGTTTAGCCGGTAACTTTACAGGTCTTTGGGATGACGATAATAACTTCTTTACATGGCGCCCGGTGGCCGATGACAGCTGTTCTATGAAGTGTTGCACAACCCCGAAAGGCTACTATATCGATTACGCATCGTGCTGTACAGAAACCCTCAAATATTCAAACTATAAATTATCGTAACATTATTAGATTTGGTTTTTTCTGTAAGATTATGTATCAACGCACGACCAATTTGGAGAATATTACGACTCAAACTTCAACTTTATTGTCACGTGCGCACATGGCCACGTAATTACCGGAATATCCAAGAAGATGAACGCTAATACAGCGACGTATAGAGTGGACTGGATTCAGTGCTGTCGTTTGGGGTACGTGTATAAAGTTCAGTATTTAAATCAGAAACATTTCGAATCATACTCAGATGGTTTCTTTTCGCATACAACGGCATAGATACGGCATTCCGCATATCGTGTCGCCTCCTGTAATTAGCGGCCACAGTGGACTTCCGGCATATTACGCCGCGGAGCCGTACACTCCGGCGCACATCCCCAACGGCTACCAGGCCCAGTACCGAACTCTGCCGGACGCAACAGAACCGTCTACGAATACCACAAGGTTCTCGGCCACACGTGTATGGTTTCGGAATAAACCACAAGTAGAAGAAACAGCAGCATCCGCGGCGTCTGGACATGTCGTAGTGTCGGATCGACTTTGATACACTTAATGGCGAAAACCGAATTTAAAATTGAATTTTTTTGTTGCTTTTTTTGCGCAATTGGTGGCTTTACTGTTTACATGAACAGATACTCGTACATTGCAAACAAACGTTTCGTGACGGTTCCTGGCTGCTTTTATTTTCAATCGAATTTTTACCTGAAGGTCTTATAAAATCATATCACCCACGTGCATATGCATATGCATGGGAACAAAGTCATACTTAAGCCCTACTCGATATAGTCTATTGCCATAGACGCCATGGTAAAACCCTTAATTGCGAACCGGTCGAGAAAAGAATTCAGTTAATTACTGTTGAATGACTGTTAATTACTGTTGAATTCGTACCAGAGGCTGTAACTACTGCTGTGCCGGTATCCTTAGAATTATATTATACTATCGCAGAATGTATAAAACGTTTTCCACCTTTTCTGTAGATACAGTACGCTGTCCTTAAATTGTATAGTCTTCCGTTGTAAATGCAAAAAAAAATCGTAAAAGCGGAAACACCTAAGAGTTGTCCAGCAGGATATGTCGTTGCATCGGGATATGGTAGATATATCGTAGATGGCTTATTGTGCGTGGATGAATAGGTTTTTCCCTGTCTGCACACACATTTGAAACAACCAGATAAGTCTTGTTAGAAAACCGGGCGGATGCTAGGAAACGACAACCACAGTGATCCGCAGAATTTGTTCGGGAATTCAACTTTAGAGCGCAGAATTTGGGTGGAAATGGCAAAAGCAGTCGGGTGGAAATGGCAAAAGCAGCAGATCAATTTACGGGCGAACTACGCTTCAGCGGGAAGCAGGAAGCTGGGATCGAAGGAAACTACAAATCAGCATTTTTCCACTCCGAATAAGTAAATACTAAATAATTATTTTGGAGATTACTTACCAGAACCAGTGACTTACAAGCATACGATTGATTTTGCTCGCTAATTGGAAACGCTGCGTTCCCGTCTCAGTACCGGTGCGTACTGCGCAGTCACGGGACAATGTTCCCTAATTAACAAGATCGTTTTCCCAGTGATGCAAGCATCGCAATCCAATCTTACAGTGCTTAATTGTGGATGACGCGCTAGCATATGAGCGTAGGTATTCAGTTACTGTGCTTAAAGGTTGCTCCACATTTCTCATTCCTAACTTCATTTTCTGCCTTTCATAACGGGAGTCTTACGACCACCGGATATTTAGAGGAAAGGACGTAACATACGGAGTAGAATGATATTACATATGTGTAATATACTGTGCCGTACATCCATCGCTGTAAAACGTAAACAGGCTGTACTACATATGAGCGGAAAGAAACTTCATTACCGGCTTCCTGAGTGACCTTTATTCTTGGCCGTGCCTTACTTCGACGATGGCATTCCTGTTGCTGACAGACCATATTCAACGAAGCTTTTACCATGCGGTTTAAACCTTTTAAGATTTTATCCATCTCGGTATAATTTCTTCCCCCCCGCTAAATGCGCCCGGTGCGGCATGGACGTAAACCGCACGCTCAGTTGGACGATTTCCAATCTGTCAGTCCGTATTCCTAGTTATAACAGCAACCTGTCAGTCCCTAGTTATAATAGCCTGGCTCATCTCAACAGCGCCCAGATCGCCACGTTAGTGATTTGCACTGTATCCGTGCTTTTCAACGGATTTCTGTTGGCCATGTACGTCGTCGAGCCGCAGTTACGCAGCGGCTTCAGCGTCTACCTGATCAGCCTGGCCGGAAGTAACTTCCTCAGCGCCGTGCTGCAGAACCCGCTGGTAGTGGCCATCAAAGACATCATCACCAACCAGCAGGCCTCCCTGCTCTGCGGCTTCCAGCTGACGTTAAGGACCGCCACCGTCGCCTTCATGGCGGTGTGCCACGCCCTCATGTGCTTCAACCGGCTGTGGGCCATTCTGCAGCCGCACTCCTATCGACGCCGGCACACGCGGCAACTGGCGCTGGCCATCTGCGTCGGCACGTACACCGCCATCCTCCTCTTCATTGTGCCGGCCGTGGCTATCGACGCCGGTTATCCGCGCTCCGTATTACTCAACCAGTGGTGCAACCTCAACCAGGCGATCCCGGGTCTGCGGCAGTGGAATGCCGCGTTCAATGTGCTGTTCATGGTAACCCCGGAAGTGTTGATCGTGGCCAGTTGTCCGCTGATTTTGTGCCGGCGCCGGCGCATGCAGCGGGTACGCGCTAAACAGCCAGCGGCGCAGCCGACAGCGGACAGCAATTCCCCATCGGCCACGGAATCAACACGACGCGGTGGGGGCGCCGTCACGGGCGGCAACGGAATGAACAGCCGCACACGCCGTTCGCAGCACAGCGTACGCATCCTTATCGTCCTAACCAGCAGCGTCGTGGTATGCTGGACGCCGATGAACGCGTATTACCTGATGCCTAGTCTCGTCAACGATCAGAACTTGTACCGCACCGCTAATATCCTCAAGATGCTGCACTCGGCCATCGATCCGCTGCTTTTTATGGCTGCCATGGATGATTTGCGTGGCTTTTGTATGCGCCGGTTGAAGTTAACACCGACGTTTCCGATGTTTCGCTAAGCTCGTTTCAGTGTAATTTTCTCACAAATCAGCAACTGTAATTGATCCACAGGCTTTACGAATAATGAGTGACCTTTGATCCATGGTATACTAGGGAAGTGCACCGCTTTTGGCTAGCACTATTAGACCGAAGCGAAGCCGGAAACATAGTTTTGTACAAATGCTAAGGGTATTTGTTACGTGGTTTTATGTATATGCAATAGCCATCAAAATAAAATAAAAAAAAACTGCAAGCGCTGGCACACTACATCACAGTTAAAATTTAAACAATAAAAAACTGATGTTGTTTTATGTTGGTTAATGTTGATAAATACATAATGTTATGTTGATTAGGTATATATTGTATTAAATATTAGCAAATAGCTATTCTCACCACCCTGACTCCACCTTTGTAATGTCACCACCTTTCACCCCGTTTTGGCTATTCGCATTTTTGCACCACCTTTTTTAATATTTTTTACACCACCTTTGGCTATTCTCACCACCTTACGGCTTTACTATTGGCGCCTGTTTTCCCTCCATGTTTTCACGCGTGAAAAGCCAACATTAATAAAACCGGATGGATTTCCCGCTTGCCAGTGTGGGATTACCGCCTTGACCTTATTACCTTGACCCTTGTGTATGGTTATTGCCCAAGCTGATGTGAGCGGGAAATGTATTCTTGTGCAGTTTTTGGACTTGTCCAACCATTTTGTTGTGACTGGAGATATCGGAACAGAGTTATTTGTGAAAGTAGGATCTGACCATGAGTACTTATCGAATTCCGCCATTAGCACGTCGGGCATCGAGCCTGACGGAGACGTTCCGGGTTCCTAACAACATATATTTTGCACATATCCCAACGGCAAAAGACTTTATCAGTCCAGATGCTTTTTTAAGCGTTACCCTTCTTGTACGTTTGCGTTTTATTTTGTACGGCACGCACAAGCGAAGTTGTAAGCGCAGCGTTACTGAAAGACAGTTTAATTCTTATGATTCTTGAGATGGCGACAACAGCTCGTCCGGTTCCGAACAAATTCTGAGCAAAATTAATTATGTCGAAATTAAATCTCGATTGAAATTCGTAAAAAGCTACAGAGTACTTACATAAATTTACAGAATGCAGTTCGTTAGCTGGTTTGTAGCAAATTAAATTACATAACTGAAATCTTTTCTGCCTCATAATTTTTGTGACAGTAATTAACTGCAATTCGTAGACAAAAATAGCCGGTAGCCAATTGATTACTAAGAGATTTCTCAGTTAATTGCCGTGTTTACAGATTTCTGTTGTGTTTCTAATGCTGATACCATTGGATAAAACCAGTCTTCAGGAATTTCCAATTAATATTGTTATAAATATTGTTTACTAAGACAGTACAACGGTGATTGTGTAACCAGTTAACGATGCCCCAAAGCAGAAGCGCACACCCTGGACAGCCATTAAGATCTACTAGGGTACAGTGCTATTTATACTGGACCCACAGTACTTCTCAAATCATGCTTCGTTATTCAGTGTTCAGCAGAATTTAATACGTGTATTCCATTATACACATTTGTTTTTAATTTTAAGTTTTTAAAATCTGCAACAGCTTTTAAAATGAGGCTATCGATGGTTTTTATTGCTGTCCTTGTGGTAGTCTGCATCATGAGTGAGTTCGTGTCGGCCAGATTCAAGTACGTATTCGCTTTTATAGGGGGACAAACAAGTCTACTCGGCCCGTTTCCCTGTACTTCTGCCGTCACCCGCCTGGAGTGTGACGTTACGGCAATACATACGGTTAAATCAGGCCGGCACATAAGCGCCATGTACAGCCACAACGTAAAACACCAGCCGGCTTACATCAGAAGTACAAGGGACTGGTTCGGCTAGGCTCATTTTTCCCCCTATATAAATTCCCAATTTATTTGGCATATACGGCTAACAAGCATACTTCTATAGCGATAATTACTGCAAACGTTTCTATAAGCCAGTTTTCATATTTTTCCGCAGAGACTTCCGGGGATGCCGTTGCCCCGGAGAACCCAGCTTCATGACTTGCAAGACCTGCACACGAAATTGCCGACAACAGACGCGCTGTGTGAACGAAGGAGGTACTTATATTTGCGCCGTCAGCGAATCGACAAAGAAAAATCCACAAGAAGAGAGGAGTATGAAAGATTGCTGCGGCAAATGCGACAAGGCCTGCAAAGGTGAATTAGCCTGCCAGATCTTCAGTGACCTTGTTGGTTAATACCAACAAAAATCCCTTTTCTCAAGATCGCCAGCCAGTAACCAACGGCCGCTGCTTTAACTACGTACCGCAGTCAGGTACCTTTCACGGTCTATTTGTTTATCATTAAAAAGCTTGTGGTGGCGTTCGTTTGATTGATGACACAATAGCGCATTCCTGTTCGTAGCAGTTATTTATCGGGCGCGGCACTGAAGAGTGTCTATCAAATGTTTACTGTAGCATACAGTATAAGGATGGCAGCTGGCTGGAACAATCATTGAAACATGCTGCACGTTTTCATTACCAACTTACCATAGGAGGCGCAACACTGCCTTTCGCGCCAGTAGTAGCAGCAGCCTCCTAACCGAATTTAGGTATATGTTTGCACTGTGCATCATTTTTGTAGCGCTTCTAGCTTTCTTACGCACCACATGGCACCAGTAATCGTGCACGAATCATCGTAACGGAGACGGCAGACCATAAGCGGCATGACTTTATCGAGTAACTAGGAGACCCCGCTTAAATTGCGCGGAATAAATGAGCGATAAATACTTAACTCAATGCAAAATTTAATTGCTTACAAGTTACATAGATGATCGTGCGGGCTTACTATGAAGTTGCTCACCACAACCGCAAGAACCCTAAAATTAGGTCCACGTAATAGCATTTAGTTATTGCACTGTTTTGCCTGGTGAGAATTTTGTGTGGCAAACATTTTGTGTTTTCTGAATGGTAAATTCCCATCATCCAGTATGGAAAGGTGGCTCCTGGACGTAGCTGACAGTTGCTCCGCAGTACTAGAGGTGGCAAACCATACACGACACTACCGTTTACGGTACGGTCAAACCGTAAAGAACCGTATGAGAAACGGCGACGGTAAATGGTCGAACCATATACGGTACGGTCAATCCAGTCACTCTTACCGTAACTGTACCGTGGCCGTAGAAGAAACGTAGGCTGAAACCGCACATAACCGTACTAAAATTCAGTACGATTATTTTGTCATCTATACGCAGTACCCAGCGCCCACGACCATTATAGACGTAAATTCCGCTTCTATTTTGTCATATTGCAATATTATCCTTTGCTGACATACAGTCTTTAGATCAAGACAGTTTCTCTTTTTACGAACGCACCTCCGGTTACTGCACGATCCCAACCAGTGAAACAGCCCGTTACATGTTGCTGTCCGAGCTATGGAGAGGACTTGATCCGCCTGGATGTGCATCATAACGTCGAAATGTCTATGAGCTCAAGGTAAAGTACTAAACATCTACCCCGCAGTAACTTAAGACAAAAACGAAGCTGTAGATGGCAAGCACTGGCAAGCCCGTTGGATGATTTGTGCACGCTGGCTAACGAATGCTGCACAGGCAACACACCAGAAGCATGGATTAAGCTGAACACCTTAGGGTTCGAAATATTTTTCTTACCACCAGAGAAAACGGAGTTACGGGTAACATATCTGCGATTGGTGCCATGCGACTCCATAACACTGTTTGTTTCAGTACCGCAGAATCGTGAGTATGTACCTATGTATCATTGGATTCAGCTATCAATACACCGTACCTATCCAATTTCCACTCCTGCACTTTATGTACGCGTACTAACAAAGGTGTGAGCGTTACTTAAGAGTAAAATCAGGCTTGTACTCTGTCCCGCTTAGATTTCAAACTGGTGGGGAGCAGCGAGCCAGCAAGTAGCTGAACCTGCAAGTCATATTCCAAAATCGCATGCGTTTTTGTCCATAAAAGGTCGTTTCGTGCTTGCAGCAAAAAGATCATAGGTAATAGGTATCAAGATAATTTCTGCATCGGTAAAACTCTGCGAAAACAATAGCCACTAGCAAGTGGATGGCTAAAAGGTTTTTTAAATATTGTAATTGTCATGTTTACGGATCCGCTGTTGTGTTTTTAATGATAATATTACTTAATAAACCCGTTATTAAGATTTTATGCGCAATATTAATCATAAATATTGTCTCGCTTAAGCGACATCCATATTGATAATTAATGTGGAATTGTGGATGCCGATGATTGTATCACCATTTATTGATGTCCCTAATCAAACTAAGCGTACACCGTGGATAAATATGAAGATTTACTATTAATACTGGACCGGCATTGCGGCTCGAAATCATGCTTCGATATTCTATAGAAATTTATGTGAGTGCTCCATTATAACTCCTTTTTTGAGTTTTAAAAGCATTTTCGAAGAGCTATAGGGAATAAGCGGCAATCTTTGGCATGAGGGCACCAGTGGTGTTCACTGCTGTCGTTGTTGTTGTCGGCATCACGAGTGAGTTTGCGTCGGCCCGATTCAAGTACGTGTACGCATTTTACAAACTGACGATTCGCGCCGGCATATAAAATGTATCCAAATCACTGATAATGCATGCGACACGTATCTGTGTAATAGTTTCCATGATTCTCCGCAGAAATTTCTGCGGATGTCGTTGCCACGGGGAACCCAGTTTCCAACCTTGCAAGGACTGCACCAACAACTGCCGACAACAATCGCGCTGTATAAACGAAAGAGGTACTTACTTGTGCGCCGTCTGCAGCGGGACAAAGAAAGAACCGAGTGCGGAGCGCGCTGTCAAAGAATGCTGCGCCAAATGCAATCAGGCCTGCAAAGGGGCCATATCTTGCCAGCCTGGCAAGATATTTAAAAAGGAAGAAAAGTTTGTAGCGCGCAAAAGTTATGCGGGATAACTGAAGCACAGTAAATTTTGGCACTAAAACACATATTTTGGGCAATGGAAAATCATCCCATCACTTCCCAATCCATCATTCATCCCATCACATTATCACGGCCACAATTCTTCGGCATGATGGGATTGGGAACAGGAAATCGGCGTGATTGTGATAGCGTGTGATGACGTGATGACAGCCCTATTGCCAGGTCTTTAGTGACATTGTTGGGTAATACCAACACACGTCAATAATTACAAGCTCGCCAACAAGCAATTCACGGCAACTGCGATCGCTGCACCCTCACTCTTATTATGCCAGTAGAGTGCTTTTCAAGATCCAGCTTATTTATCCCATCTAATAGCGCTTTCTTGTTCTGTCAGATGCTAATAATATTATACCGTAATTGGGCATTTAACAATGCCCATGTTTACGTTTACATATTCAATGTATGTACATATCAAAATTATGGAACCGCTGTTAGCTTACTGCACGAAGCGTTTTTGCGGGTCACACCTGTAGTCCCATGCGGCTTCTACCAAATGGGTTTCTACACGTAAGAAATGTGCAGTATTTCCGTTTTCCGTCTATGATATACTGTAGTTCTTTTATGCACCAATGCAGGGATAACTGTACGCGTTGAGGAGTGCGAACAGGGCCGAACACTACGTCGGTGTTTATCATTTCATGAGCGTCGCATAGTCGAGAATTCCACGTGCCCAAATTACTCTCGCTTCGCAAAGATACGGGTAGCATTCACATTTAGTTAAATTTATACGGCTTCCCTTCCAGTTGTGTTCAGTTTGTCTTTTTGTTGCACTTCTAGTTTTGTATCAACGCTCACTAATACTGTACGCACATAAATCGTTAGGAAACATAATAAATATTCGCCGGTAGCTGCCGGGCTTATAACAATGGGCAAGTCGATCGCTCGGGTACACCGCGTAACATTCCCAACTAATAAGAAAGAGCTCTGGTTCTCGCCACAAATTTTCTGTCAGCCGTTTAAGCGTTTAATGGGTCTATTGACATCCGATAAACTAGCGTATTTCATAAATCCACCAACGTCTTTCTTGTATACAACCGCATAGATATAAATGAAGCGGAAGATAGCTTCGGTGCTGTAGTCATGATGTTCTGCAACAACGAATCGTTTTCCCACTTTGCCCACCAGAACGTGAAAAGGCCTGATGCCGGCAGCTTTTCTTCTGCGGACAACTGATTCAATGTCGTCAAGATTGGTGATTGCACTCAATGGTTCTCCAAGACGGAAATCGCGAATAATTTTGTGCATGGACAAATCTTGAACTTTGTTGAGATCTGCTACATTATCAGTCACTCTTGTGCTTTTTGCTCCCGTCTCTTGCTGCCCATCAAATTCCTTGGCCGGGATGACAACCAGAGTGTTGTCGATTCCCAGCAATGCCAGTGACACTAATGGCTGGTCGATTTTTTCATCGCTGATAACAATCAAATCTTTAGGAATACCTTTGCATATCAAAAGCGCCAACATCTTTAGAATATTTTCTGCGGACCACTTTTGAAATTCAATTGCCTTCAAAGTAAAACTGGCATAGGGGTTAACCAATTCCATATGGTACTCAGAAGAATAAGAATTGTTTTCGGTTTCTCCCATTCCTTCTGTTGAGCAAGTTCCTGTGTTTTAGTGGCAACGGACATTGACGCTTGCTGACCTTTTCCCAGGAGAATTTGAACTACACTTTTCTCAGATTCTATTACGCTGACTAGAAAGATCGAGTTGTCCTGGTAAATGTCCAAATTCATTCCATTAACGAACTCTACCTTCTTTTCACGCTCTGTAACTGGTTGGCGCAACTGTTGAGCTATGCCCATCATTTCCTGGTCAATTCGTGACATACTCCAAGCTATACTATTCAGCACCCATTCGCACTGTTTGCGCCCGTTGTCGAAGTGGGTTTCAGCGCATGTCTGCTCCATACGCATTCTCTCTTGCCGGAGCTTTCTTTGGGATTCCGTTTCGTTGTTTGAATCGTGTATTAGCTGATGAAAACGCTTTCGCTCCTGTTCGCGGAATGCATTGTGTCTGGAGATCTTTTCCTTCATGTTATTTTTCCTTTCCTCATTGCGTCGGTGCAGCTTTATCCGGTGTGACGACCACATTAATATAGGATTGACACAAGCTAGAGTGCTGTATCCATGCATACCATAGTTGATTGTGTCCATTTGCTTCATTTCATACAGCACAGATTTACGGGCTAAAAACAGCCGCCTCCGTAACTGTGCTACCGTTGATCTTCCTCGAAACTGGTGAAAAGCTTCATAGAAGAAGGATTCCAACTCAGAATTATTCCGACAGAAGAGCGTAAATTCTGGAGTGCATTGCTCCTTACCAACCATCACCGAAATGGCAGCATATACGTTCTTCCCAAGGTTTATCGGTATCCTGTCTTCCCTAGGCTTTTGCCGGTAATATTCTGGATCTCGTCCGCTGAGCAAATACAAGCAAAGACACGCGGCACTATAACTGTCACTGTACTGGCTGCTTACAATATCGCCGCGAATGCATTCTGGAGCGCTGTACAACAGGGCGCGAACCGCTTCGTCGCGATGGCATTTAATGTATTCTTCGGTAAACAAAAGAGGATTTTGCTTTCGGAAACGTACTCTTTTGCGGGTAATGTGTACTTGGTCAGGACGAAAATCTAAGGCACATGTGTTGTTTAAGCGTAAATAACTTATCTGCTGCAGTATCGCATCCGCAATCCACAGTCGTTCAATTGTTGACAAAGATTTGAAGTTTGCTTGAGATCGCTCCAAGCCGGTAACGTTCGCAAACAAGGAAGGGCAGCGAATGAGTTCTTCCACTGAAACTTGGTCTTTTCTCGTAAGGATAATGTTATTGCCAAAAGATTTCGATCGTCGTCTAGAGTAGCCATGAGGCTCATCGTCGTCCAGAGCCATATGACCAAATTATTAATAAAGTGTTCATGTACCAATGCAGTTCTCTGCTGTGCTGAAGTCATGCCAGCGAAAAAGTTAAGGAAACCTTTCTATGAGTAACAACACATGCGTTAGCACAAATTCGCGAGTATTATTGTCGGATAAAATATACGTGGTATGTCACCGTATGTGGTATGGCGCTATCGGCTGATAAGATTAGCGCTCAGTATTAAGGTACGAATACCGTAAGTCTATTTCTACTGCACGCATTTTCTTGTTAGACGTTACAGAAATAGTGGTACGAGTACTGTAATCAGCTGAACTCTTGCTACATTAGGAACAATTGTATAACATGCTCAATTGAAAGGTTTTTGGTAACATCACAACGCACGAGTTGTTGCATTTACAAATAATGGATCGGCCACAATGGGAACAACTAATCCCTCATTATTCCTTAACCATCCCCAACCCGATCAGACTGAATAATTTATCGGCGCAGGCGAAAGCCAAGTTCTACCGGGCGTATTTTGGCGAAGTAGACTTCCTGTTGAAGGAACTGCAATACGAAAATAATAATAACGATTTTGATGCCACGGTTCGAGAGAAAATCGAGACACTAAGGAATCTTAATCACTCAAATATGACGAAATATTTTGGATTGGCAATGCGGCAGATTGCTGTTAACAGCTTGATTCTCTACCGTGTTTCAACTGAATACCATACAGGTAATTTAGCAGCTGTAAATATCCAGCATCTACAATGCTCGGGTTACGAGCTGAACTAATGCAAATGATTTGCTTATTCTAACTGAGGATGACAAAATTTGTGCTGCGCAGATTTGGTCATCCTTTCATCGCGAAGTTAGTGAAATTTTACGATACCGGATAATTATACTATAACCGAATAAATCCATTCGCTTGATTGTAATGTAGGTGGAGATCTGAGTGAGTGGGTGCAAAGAAGACTAGCTGATCCGAATCAACAAACAGAAACCACCCTGTTTACTCCACATGCTACCGTTCAAAAATTTCTTCGGGATCTATTGGCTGGTCTCTGCTACATCCACTCTTTCGGAATAATTCACTGCGACATCAAACCGGAAAACCTTCTTCTGAGACAGTGCAGACGGCACTCTCTTGTGATCGTCGACTTCGAAGGTTCGGCAATGAATGGTGAGCTGCAAGGCAGAGTACAGAGTGTGGATTTTACGGCGCGATATGCTGCTCCCGAGTTGTTGCTGTGTACGGCAATGCTCGGAAACGACTGTGAGTCAGGGATAACAATATCTGACAAAACCGATATTTGGAGTGTGGGTTGTGTAGCTATACAGTTATGCACAGGAGCGCATCCAATAATACGGAAATGGAAAGAGCCGATTGGTGCACTGGAGGACTGGGAAGGATCGTACGGAGAGCAGACTTTCACCCAGCGTCAGCAAATAATGTATCAAGTTGCAGAGCATCAAGCCCGACCAAAGATACCAGATCTGGGAAACACGACGGCGGACGCGCTGCTGATAAGTTTTATGAAATCTTGTCTCCAGTTTACCATGGAACATCGCAGAACTGCAGTCCAGTTACTCAGTGACCGGCATGGCTATCTGTGTTTAGAACAGGAGTTGACTGCATGACCTTGGAGAATCAGTGTTGTGATAATTATTATAACATACGTAGTAACCACAAGAACGAGAAATCCACGAAGAGCTAAAAAAATACTTTTGACAACTGCAGCTGAATTTTTTCTGATTGAAGAGTTTACCCGTAAATCCATTGCTTACACGTGAATCTGACGACCGAAAATGTAACCACAGAAGCCCTATCTCGACCTATGTAAATATGTTTCTTCCTAATTATATGTAATTAGGAAGAAAACCGATCTGTCGTACGTAGCCGATTACCATCTTCTAAACACTGCTTGGCGCAATTCAGGTAATGCCAAGACGAAAATAACTGGATCCAATATCGGTTGCACTTCATACACCATGCGCAGCCAGAAAAATACAACTTTGGCGTTTTGGATGAAGGCAAAGAATGGATAGACACCACGGCGACTGCCCAGCAAACAAAAATGCTGATGGTCAATAGAGCTAGCAATCTGAAACCGTTTTTTTCCGATTGTTCGGCTGTTGTGCTTTTGTTTAGAGAGGGCGCATGATCGGCTGGCTGTATATTTTCGTCTGAAAATAATACGATAACAGACCGTAAATTATGTAACGATGACAAAATATCAGCATTATTGGCAGCGTTTGTTTACCGGTAGGCCGAACCCTGGTCGAACGCATCGCCATCAGTTTCTTTAAACGTCTCCGCCGAACAACCACAACGACGGGAAACAAGCCAAGCATCACGAGCAGAGTGACCAAATTGACCGCCTGCGCCACGTACAAATAGGCTTGCTGGGATTTGGACTTGGGGAAATTAATGTGGCATCCGGCCTTGGTTTCCGGCTCGCGGTAAACTAACGCGTCCACGATAACAACGGGGAAGGCCACGGCATGCGCTGCAATCCAGCAGATGGCGTTAGTCACCAGAGCGATGCGGGTAGTGTGCAGGAGACGGTTTTGCACCGGAAAGGTGATAGCAGCAAAGCGGTTAATGGCGATGGCTGTGTGAATGAAAATCGGCACGGTTGGCAGTGTCCATGTAGCGTATAAGTGCAGATTACATAAATCCCGGCCCAGACACCAAATTTCGGATAAATGAAAGAAGGCATCCGTTGGTCCAAAAATTGCAGCGAAAAGAAAGTTAGAGAACAGCAAGGAGAAAATATAGATATGAAAATTCCGGCATAGGCGAAAGTTAGCAATGTACACGACCAAGACAAAGGCATTGGTCGCGAATATTAGCACGTTTATGGCCAGTGTTATGACAGTAGCGAGGTCCCACTTGTGGTGGTTAATTAAAGAGTCGCAGGCGTCAAGCGATGCGTTGAGGATCCGGAATGTACTGTTGTTTGCCATGGTAGCAATGTTGACGAAAAAATGTTGCGATCGGTTGGTAGAAACCGAACAGAAATGGATGAGCAACCGCTTTTATCCTTGATAATTGTCTATCCCTTCGGTGGTGTGACCGGTGAAACAGGATCTACTGCAGCCCCGCGGTAAATATTTCTATATTACCAAGAATTTGCTCCTCAAAGAAACCCGAGGATAATTTGTCCCGAATGCGCCGTAATTATTTTCTTGTCATAATTGTAGTGCGGTGATCTTGCAGTACGCAGTGTTGAAATGTTCGACAGCGGAAGCTTTTATTCTGGATGTCCGAAAAAGTTTCTTTGATCCATTAGTAAGCTGCTTTCGAATAAATGCAGAGAATGCGGTAAACAGGTCGTGCTTCGATCACATCCGCGTCATAACTGCGTTAAGACGTCGTGATCAAGACAGTTGTTAGGAGCGTGGCTCTGTTCGTTAGGTTGCCGGCTGTACGGAGAATATCTTACGATATTCTGCTGTACGCCGATAGCCTAGTGGTGCCTCTCTCGGCCTTAGAGTATAGAGGACGCGGGTTCGATTCCCGCAATCGGCAGATTTTTTGCGAGTTATGTAGTCAGCAGCGGCCAGTCTGGCACAGTGTACACTGAACAGGCGACAAAAACAAATTTTGTTTGATAAATGAGCGTTGACGGCTCACGGAGCATTAAACGAAGGGCACTTATAATGTAAAATTAATACTGTTCCACAAAACTAGCGGTTTCACGACGTCTTTTAGCTTTTATTGTGCGTAGTGTAAGACTTGGGAGAAGCCAAGTACAGCATATTCGAGATGCAGGGTAAAGCTACTAACGTTACGAACGCTGTTTTTACTGTTTTGCGGTCACCGGCGGAGTAATCGAGCGGGCGAGCGAAGCGAGCCCGCGTTTTTTTCAATATAAGCACTTTGAGGTTTTAAGACACGGCGACCTTGACCTTCAGGTTCCTCACACCCCGAAACTGCGGTTCTAAGACACGGCGACCCTGACCTTTGGGTCGCCGTGTGACCTTTAGTGACCTTTGTGACCTTTAGGTTCCCGAGACCCCGAAACTGCGGTTCTAAGACACGGCGACCCTGACCTTTGGGTTGCCGTGTGACCTTTTGTGACCTTTAGGTTCCCGAGACCCCGAAACTGCGGTTCTAAGACACGGCGACCCTGACCTTTGGGTCGCCGTGTGATGTGACCTTTGTGACCTTTAGGTTCCCGACACCCGAAACTGCGGTTCTAAGACACGGCGACCCTGACCTTTGGGTCGCCGGTGACCTTAGTGACTTCACAGTTCCTGAAACCACACAACCGCGATTCTACGAGCTTAAATTTCTCAACCTTACGTGCTTACACAGCAAACTATACCTCTTGATTTTGGTGTGCACGTTAGTGTTGCAGTAATCAGCGTTATGCGTCATCTCTGAATAAGATGGGCTCGCATATTATGAGATAACGTTTAACATGACGTTTCTCCTAATGCAGGCGACTACAGACCATATGTCACGTTAAGGCGTAACGGCGCAATGTTGTCGTAACGAGCCGCGGGTACTGTGACACAATGGCGGTGCTACAACTATTAAGCTACAATTTATTTACCATGAGGGATATCACGTTACCTCAACAGATAACGTGAGCGTACAAAGCTGCAGTTATTGCATTTAATGCATTTATCCGTGTTTCACTGCTTTTTGCCTTAACTGGCTTAAGTTTGCGTTATTGTGACTGTTAGCTATAACAATGAAAGCAAAAATCGTGACTGCTTTACTTCGGCTCACCCGAACTGCAAGAGGTTATCGCGAATGCAGCTGGCTGACGTTACTTTAATTGGTTGTAGTTAACACAGCGGTTTGTTGTAATGGGCCACCACTAATAAGTTGAGCCTTAACTAAGGTTACGGATTTGCGTTACAGGGACATTTGTTGCTTGATAATAATGAATTTAATGCCTTCTGCAACGGTACAAAGCCGCCTCACGCACACAATAAGATAGCACGCATATAACTGGGGCAAACTGGACAAAATCAAACTCAAAATTTGCGTACTTTAACGTAATAATTTCGAAATTACAGTGGGAATAACAGCTATCGCACCGATCTGTAGTGCGGCAGATTGATTTTGTTATTTTCGTGACTGGCTTTAGTTGCTGTAACGAGCGATGGTAACTGTTACGGGCTTCCTCAGCATAATGAACCACGGTCTCAGTCACCGCTACCATGGAAGTCTAGGGTTACCGTAATGGATTCGCACTAACGACACGCCTACCCACATATCGTTTCTGCCAAAATCTGCAGACTTATCCCATTAAAACTGCAGTTCCCGTACCAGCCCATTACGTTAGCAGGCATTCGGAAACGTTAAAAGAATAATGTCCTAGCAGCAATCGGTTTAGTGTGTTGTAATTTGCTACTATAGCGGTGATCTCAAGAAACCATAAAAGGATACGATACTGTTATGCAATGTTTTACCGCTGTGCTAAACAAATTACCGTAAGCGTAACGTTTTCTCTCGTCAAAATTTACGGTTACAATGACAGGTCATAGAACGCTTACGGAAAGCATATTTCTTGCGCAACATCCTGCTTTCACTGGTTGGTGGATAGCGTGTAAATTACCTGATACCCTTCATTAAACTTATAACTGTAAAATAGACGGTTAAAACATTACAAGAAGAAAACCTTCCATATAAATACATTAATTATCGCATTTTTTGGCTCCCGGAAATAAGTCCCACTGCATCAAGCGCACCTCACCAAGCCTGTTTGAATAATAACACCTCCTCTCGAAATTACGCCCTAAAGAGCCATTTATAAATATAAAGCCCTGCAGGATGATAAGAATGCTGCAAATTGCCTCATAAAAGTTGTTGCAGTTGTGAGCAAAAAAAGAACATTCTTTTGCAGAATTTCTACGTAACTAAATATATGCTGACAATATTGCTGGCACGATTAGGCGGTTGCATGTTCCGGCAACTATTATGTTCGCGTTTGCTAGAACAGAATGCGCAGCCTTATAAACAACAGTGTCCCTCCCAAAACATATCGTTCAAGAAACAATGACACCTTCCGAGATTGCGCCCTTCCCAAAATAAGCTCCCTGTGTCATAGCCTTAGGCCTTTATGTACCCCAAGGTCACTGATTCCCTGATTACAGTAAGAAATTTTATTGATACGTTTCGGTGGAATATCTTTTGCTCGAACGCAAACACAGATTTCGCTACAACTTTAAGTTGCACGCTAGCGTTCTACATATCGAGTTTAAGCTTGATTTAAAGCAGACTTTATGTAGAGCCACTGTTCAGTGGTTTAAAAGGTTAGTTAAATTATAAGCGGATTTTGAATGTCTAACGCTCCCGTTTCGTGAGTGAGTTTGCTTTCTATCACAGCGGCAACAAACGAAGAAATAATTTGCGCAATTCAGTTGCCCGATGTACATACCTGCGTTATATTCTACTGCTATTTAGTAATTAAATTCACTGTACTTTACATCCTTTATTTGAAGTGAAATGCGTATCAAAGTTGCACACTTCGTTTATGTTAATATTAGTAGAAAGTAAAAGTAAACTTTGTAATTTGTTTGTTGCGGAGGTTCAAGTAGCTGCTAATTTCAGTTTAAAAATCAAGTGACCTGTTTAATTTTATCATCCAGTGTTTTCTTGAATGTCTGGCTTGGACGAAAAGGTTTGTTTCGAAACGTTTCTTGCAAAGACTTGTTCTCATCGCATTTGTTTATTCCACTGAATGTATACTACATACTTTATTGTATTCTGCTTACTTTATTTACTGCTTTACAACTTGATCACCTCTGGCTGCTGTTGTACTAAAATTATGAAACAGATTTTGGCTTTAGGGTAAACTGCACGAGTGATACAAGGCAATGATCCTCAC